CTGGGCCAGCGGTCAGTGCAGGATTTTCTCAGATACAAAACAGGAGCCAAGCTCAAGGTGCAAAGCTATACCACTAGCTGTGACCCTGGGGGCCCAGCCCAGAGGTCTGTAGGTACAGACCCTGCCTCTGGGTGGAGAAGCCACTTGGCCATATCAAGCTAGTCTGTCCCTTCTAGGAGGCTAAGGAAGGGGAGGGCAGAACATTCTGGGGTATCCAAGCCTATTACCGGTTTGGACATTGTGAGGCTCAGAGAGCTGGTGGTGGCTGGGGTTGGTGTCCACAGCCCAGGATTATGCTGGGACTATAGCTGAGGAGTTCAGTGCATTTTAGGGCAGAAAAACCCCTTTGAAAAAGTTAACAGCACTTCAGCGAGTAGGAGATCAGAGGACCCTGGGGCAAGCCACCCCAGGGATTGCAGGCACACCTCCTTCCCTCACTCTGCCACCTGTAGCAAGGGACCAGAGGGTGCCACTCTCCATAGGGAGGGGGATCATACACTGGATCTGCCTCTGGCGAGTCACTGAATGTTTATAAGTTTCGGTGAAAACTTAGACTCCACCCCAACCATTGTGTGAAAGGCTGACAGATGACCATCCCATGGGTCTGCAGCTTGCCAGGCCTCGAGGGAGGGAGCCGACCCATCTCTGACCACCTGCACCAGGCCAATGTCAGTGCCCAGAATGGCACACCCATAGGCAGAGGCTCTAGGGCTGTTCTGTGTGCACCTGCTGACCCAGGGCATCCTCCTATCACCATGGCTGACAAGCCAGGCCAGCTCTAGAGGCCTCCATTAGCCTTATTAAAGCCACAAGCCAAGGCAGGGCCAAGAGTGGTGGGGGCTCCCCGCTCCTCCATACACCCAGTAATTCCATGTTCTGGCCCATGGCCCTGCTAGCTGGGTCCTTGCATCAGGCCAGAGGCTGGAGGAGAGGCCTGTGGGGGGAATGGGGCAGCAGGCTCAGGCTGTCTGTCTGGAGAGTCAGAAACTGAGTTTGTGGGGAGGAGAACTGTGGCTGGGGGCGGCAGAGGCTGAGTGAGGTGCCCTGGACATTCCATGTGGGAGGGAGACCTACCCTTGTCCTCGAGGACTCAGGACCCTGCCCTGCCACCCACCCCATGCCCAAGGCTCCCAGATGAGGTGCCTGAGTCACAGAGTAACTGTGACCCCAAGTAGGGTCCCTCAGCGCTAGGCAGACAGGGACACTTGAGGCAGAGTGAGAATGCTGACAGCACCTCCTATAGGTCTCAGTGAATCAGGACGGCACCCTCTGGGCAGGCACTGGACACAGGCTTGGCACACACATCTTGGCAGCAAAGCAGAGACTGGAGCTGGCCAAGCTGGTGTGGCTGCCTCCCACCCTAACCTTGGCCAGCTGCCTCTCACCCTGACCAGCCACATTGCAACCAGTTGCCTGGCAGTCCCCTACCCAAAGACAGCTTCAGTCTCAGCTGCCAAGGACTTAAGCATGGATCCCACCTGAACACTTCTTTGCTCTACAGAACCCAGAGGTGCTGAAGGCCAATCTGCTGAGCCCCCAATCTAGGTCCCAGGAGGTGGCAAGGGCAGGACATGGACCTTGGAGGTTAGACAGTTCTGGCCTGGGTGCTGGTCCACCCTTCTTTAATAGGCAGCATTTGGAAGCAAAGCTCTGGGTCTCTAAATGGGTGATGAAGGTCATATGTGGGCCTGGCACAGAGGAAGCACCTGTGATGGGGACCAGCAGAGAAGGCAGCATGATTGTGCCCTGTTCCCTAGTCAGGGAGCACAGTGCTCCCCAGCTCTCTGCCACAGAGGCAGACCCCCGTCCCCAGGCTTCCCCTCTCCTCCAAGTGCAGCCCTTGTCCCTGGCATGAGCCTTCACTCTGCAAGGGGGACAAAGCCTGCCATGAGTCCAGCACAGCCCTACTGTCCTCCTCTGCCCTGCAGTAGGGTGCACGCCATGAGGGCTGGACGGGCCCAAGGCCCTGTGGTCTGCGGGCTCTGGCTCCCAGGCTGGGCTGAAGGGTGTGCTCTGTCTCCTGGGCAGTGGTACGTCCAGGTACTGAGAGTCCATCTGTGACTCCTGCTCACCTAGTTGGGACCTGGCTCAAGGTCATGGCAGGCCAGGCTGCCTGGCTCCTGAGACTATCCCTGTCTGCCCTGGCCACCCCTCTCCAATGGGTAGTGTTTGTCCACAGCTTCTGGGATTCTCCTAGACAGCAGTAAGGGCTGAGGACTGCTCAGCATCTACAAAGCGTTTTCTGTTTCTGGTTCATTTTCCTTTGGGCTTCTGGCCTGGGGATCCCCTGCAGGCCAGTGTCAGGAGGTCAGCAGATGCATCTGTCCCCTACCCCACCCCTGAGCCTGGTGCGTCCATAGACTCAAGCAGCCTTTTTCTGTCCAGGTACTTCTTTGAGCCAAGCACTGGCACCAAGAGCCACCTGGAGCCCCTGCCTGTGGGTTGTGGGCTCCCTGGTGAGCAGATGACCAGGGAAACTCCAGACAGACATACCAGGTGCTCTGAGGCCGGTGGGAGGACCAGGCTAGTGGATCAGGGCCCACCCCCAGCAGTGAGGCTAGCAGTGATGTTGTGCACCAGTGAAGGCCACAAGGCTGCCATGAAGGGGACTCTAACAGAGTGGGCCCTGGAGCAGTGTCACCCAAGGAAAGCCCTGCTCCCGGGAAAGAAGGGACCCGGGGGACCCAGTCCAGGGGCTCTTGACTGGGGTCCTGTGTGGTTTTGGGGGGGTCCGTGTGTGAGCCTACCAATTCATGCAGTGCAGTCTGTGGCTCAGCCATGGAGCTTTCCTAGGGAGAAAAAGGACTCATGGACTTAGGGGTCTGTAACCCAGGAGGAGAGCAACATGGCCCTGAACATACACACACATGTGCACACACACACGGGCAGTGGATAAAAGTGGACTCTAAAAAAATCATTTAAAAAATAAAAGCCCCCACTACAGGCCCCGTCTTCCAGAATCTGTTGTAACAGATTCACCCAAGCTGGTTAACGGTATTTGCGGTTTGCAAGATGCTGCATGTCCCGGGAAAATGACAGACACGTTATTATCACCTCTCCACTGTCCTCCTGCCCAAACCTGCCTGCTCCCAGCGCCCATCTGCTGGGGAGCGGGGCAAGGAAATTAACAATCCTGCGCCCCCCCCACCCCGCCCGCCCCGAGCCAGCCTTCCCGGCCGAGGCTCCCAGCCAGGCCCCAGTTGTGGGGCGGGGGTTGGGTGCGAAGAGGGGAGGAGTCCAGGGGAGAGGACGGTCGGGGAGGGCTGGGCACACATGGGTGTTTGGGCAAACCGCTTCCTGCAAGCGCTCAGAGCACCCGCATCCCGGGCAGGCAAGTCTAGACGGCTCCGTGTCAACAGCCGAAGATAAATAAGATTTTATCAGCTCGGAATCTGTTGAAACACATCCATCTAGCGGTTCTAGGGAAGAAGGCAGAAGGGAGGGCGGCAGAGAGGAAGCGTCTCCACATGACCCTTCCTATGGAATAGGGACGGCCGCTGGAGCCCCTCCTCTTGTCCAGTCTGGGGAGTAGGAGGGAGCTGGGGGGCCTCACGCCCTCCTGGGCTCGAGCCTGTCCTCTGGAAGGACTTCCATCTTCCATATTGTAGGTGTGTTGCCACCTGATGGTGCAGGTCTGCGAGGGCCGTGGAGGCCTTGCGAGGTACAGAGGGGACGAGGGTCGTTCACGCCACCCTGGGGCGTGTCCTGGTCTCTGTCACTGGACTCTGGGCCTGGCCCTCCCTCCTAGTTGGCTCCCGCAGTGGGCGGTCCAGCCGCCACAGTCACGCTGGTACCGGGGACAGCTCCCAGTGCTGGCTCCACCCCAGCTGCGCGATGCACCCGCCTGCCTCTCACCCGGTTCCTCAGTTCTGGGAGGCAGACCGGACCAGAGAGACTGCACTGGTGGCCAGGGGTCAGAGTCCCCCCTCTTGTTGGCACAGGAAAGCCCTCTTGTGGGCTCCACCTGCTCCCCCGGCTCTGCCAGCAGCTCCCCGTGTCTGGCCTCAGTTTCCCTGACGTACGAGGGTGGAGCAGGGGAGGGCGGCATTCTGCAGGCACTTTTGGCTGCAGTAACCTGTGACTCTGAGTTGCTGGAGGTGTGTGCAGAGGGATGGGGTGGGGGCAGGAATCTAATCTGAAATGGAACATTCCTGATTTCCCAGGAGCCCAGCACTCGGGTATCAGCTATTTGGAAACCAGCAGACGCCCCTGGGTGACCCTCGCCGGGGTCACTTCTAGAGTTCATGAGTGATGGCTGGAGGCCCCTGCAGGTGGCTCAGTCAGAAAGGGCACCATCCAGTCCTCTAGGGCAGGGTCTGACCGGCCCTGGGTGGACCCCTCATCTCCTCACATTGTGGGCTGGGTTTGCTAGGGCAGCGTGGACAGAGGGGCTCCCACGGTGGCCCAGAGTAAGCTGCACAGCACTGCTGCTGAGGCTGGAGGGATATCAGAGTCCCCAGGGCTGCAGAGGCTATGTGGGGGGGCTGACCGGGAAGTTCTCTACCAATGCTCAAATGTATAATAGGCATCCAGCCCATCTGCAAATTATGTTTCCTGTATGCAAATACCAAAAAAGCCCAACTCTAGGCTTTTAAAAACAGACTTGGTGACGCAACCCTCCTCTTAAGACCACTGCAGTCAAGGTGCTCTGGGTCCCCAGCCCTGCCCCTCCCTCAGCAGCTCCTTATCAAAACCTTCCTGCCCTTTCCTGACCTTAGCCATAAAATGTGCATGGTGCTGCCTTCCTTTCCAGCTATCGAGGTCGGGGCATAAAACACACTCGAGCCACTGTGGTCACTGAGTGAAAACTGCCTGGCAGTTGTGGAACAGATGTCCAGGCTTTGAAGGAAAGATGCCCACTGGAGCTCAGAGCAGGGGCGCACACGATGGCAGTCTTCATGGGGTGGTCGGGAGGAGGCTGGCACCCCCGATGGGGGGATGCAGCCCCACAAGGGTGTGGGGCTGGGATCATGGGGCTCAGTGGCCTCCTACCCCTTCAGTACTCCCCGCTGCTGAAGAAGCTGTACTGCCAGATCGCCAAGACATGCCCCATCCAGATCAAGGTGTCCACCCCGCCGCCCCCGGGCACCGCCATCCGTGCCATGCCTGTCTATAAGAAGGCAGAGCACGTGACCGACATCGTGAAGCGCTGCCCCAACCACGAGCTCGGGAGGGACTTCAACGAAGGTGAGGGCCCTGCCAGCCCCCTGGACCATGGAAACCCCTTGCTAAGTGGTCTGAGCACCCCAGCTGGGAAGGGGAGAAAGTAGGAGTGGTGAGGGGCTGATAGCATGGCTCAGCTGTTCCTTCAAGCACCTCCCCTGGTCCCATTTCTCCCTAGCTGTGACTGGGGCCTTGGAAGCTGCTGCTCCAGGATGGAGTGGGTGGTCTGGAAGAACCTGGGGTGCCAGCCAGCCTTCTAGGACCCTGGGGATGCTATGTGGGGGTGGCCCTTCTGTCCAGTGTGCCTGAGCTGGGCACCTAGGACAGAGAGCTGGCAGTAGGCGGGGACCTCGTTGGGAGGCCTTCAGGGCTGGGCTTCATATCCAGTTCTGCTATGACACACCCCCGCGTGGGGATGGGAAACCATGGCTGGCACCTCCCTGAAGCAGCAACATCTCCTGGCAGGACAGTCTGCCCCTGCCAGCCACCTCATCCGCGTGGAAGGGAACAATCTCTCACAGTATGTGGACGACCCTGTCACCGGCAGACAGAGTGTTGTGGTGCCCTATGAGCCCCCACAGGTAGGCCAGCGGCCATGCAGGGTGAAGCCCCTGCTGGAGACCCTGTCTCACTACACCTGGCTGACTTGTCCTGGTGTGTTCCCAACTGAAGTCTGGTCATGGGTGCCTCCCTCACCATGCAGGCCAGTCCCCTCACCAGCTATCTGCACCACTGCCACACTCATGACACCCATCTACTACACATGCTGCCACTCCAGCTCTGGTGGGCCTTGGTGTTCCCAGCTCTATAATAGGAGAGTGGGTCAGATGACCTCCAGATGTGGGGGCTGGGGCATGTGTGCCAATGCTGAGCCCTCTCCCTGCTTCCACCGTGTGTAGGTGGGGACGGAATTCACCACCATACTGTACAACTTCATGTGTAACAGCAGCTGTGTGGGGGGCATGAATCGGCGGCCCATCCTCATCATCATCACCCTCGAGACGCGGGAGTGAGTCTATCGGGCGCGTGGGATGCAGCTGGGGCTGTGACTGGGGAGCTAGTCATGGATATGTGGGGGCCAAGGCCAGTGGTGGGTGCAAGTCTGGGGGAAGGGGCTCTGCGGGCACTGCTTGGGCAGACACTGGAGCTTAGTGGGAGGCAGGGGGCCCTGGGTTGACGTCTTAAAGTAGCCCCCCAGCCTGTGGCTGCCTCTTGGGGAACGTTTTCCACTAGGGAGGACTCTGTGCCCATCAAGGCAGGTCCTGCGGGGAGAGTGGGCAGGGTGGGCTGGGACCCTGAAGCTCATGATCCTGGTTATGCCCACCTGACAGTGGACAGGTTCTGGGCTGCAGGTCCTATAGGGAGAGTTGGCAGGGTGGGCTGGGACCCTGAAGCTCATGACCCTAGTTGTGCCCACCTGACAGTGGACAGGTGCTGGGCCGCCGGTCCTTTGAGGGCCGCATCTGCGCCTGTCCTGGCCGTGACCGCAAGGCTGACGAGGACCACTACCTCGAGCAGCAAACCCTGAATGAGAGGAATGAGGGCGCCGCCAGGAGCAGCGCTGCCAGCAAGCGCAGTGAGCGGGCTCAGGCCAGGGCTGGCGGGCTCCACTGGGGTGATGTGGGGTGGGAGGGGACACACCTGCAGGGGGCAGTTCAAGTCTATGTTTGGGGAAAGGGCAACCCTGAACTGCCCTCTGACTCCAGAGGGTGCCCAGCTGAGCCAGGCAAGTAGAGCCCCCGGACAACTTGCTAGTCCCAGGGCCCTGGGCCATGGCACCTGAGAGGCCTGGACTGGGGTTGCCCCTGGGTTTCCCCATCCATGTGGTTATTGTCTTCTGGACTGCCCACATGCTGTGCCTACATGCAGGGTCAGCCTGACTGGGTGGGGTGAGTGTCCCAGGTGAGGGCTGGGCTGAACCACCAGCACCCCCTGCATGTGGCCTGGCGCTTACTGGTTCACCTGCCTACTGGCTCGCTCACCCACCTGCCTGGCCTTCTAGCGTTCAAGCAGAGTCCCCCCACCGTCCCTGCCCTGGGCACCAGCGTGAAGAAGAGGCGGCACGGGGATGAGGACATTTACTACCTGCCTGTGAGTGTGAGGCCTTGCAGCGTGCTATCTTGCAAGAGGGGCCATGAAGGGGGCACTCATGGCACTCTGACATGTGACTGGTCTGACTGGTGCACTAAGTCACCCAGGCTTTGGGAGGGCTCCTCTCACAGGGCAGGCGCTGAGTTCCTTGAGCTCTTCAAGAAGTAGCCTCTGTCTTTGAAATTGGTGTCTGGGGCTCGGCACCTATAGCTCAACTGGCTAAGGCGCCAGCCACGTACACCTAAGGTGGCAGGTTCAAATCCCCAGCCCGGACCCACCAAACAACAATGACGGCTGCAACCAAAAAATAGCCGGGCGCCTGTGGTCCCAGCTGCTTGGGAGGCAGAGGCAGGAGACTCGCTTGAGCCCAGGAGTTGGAGGTTGCTGTGAGCTGTGATGCAACAGCACTCTACCCAGGGGGGCAGCTTGAGGCTCTGTCTCAAAAAAAAAAAAAAAAAGAAAGAAAAAGAAATTGGTGTCTGGTGGGAGGATGGGGGCCAGAGCTTGTCAGGAAGGAGTGGGCATAGTTCTCAGGGACTGTGGGTCCCCATAGTTCACAGGGACCCCCCTCTGGGTCATAGTGAGAAAGCTGTTGTACCCTGAGTGTTGTACCCTGAGCCTTGGGGAGCTGGGAACCCTGAGAAAGGAGGGACACTTTACTGCAGCCCCCTGGTGTTGGGGCATCGGCAGAGGGCTGTGTCTCTGTGCCCAGGTGCGTGGCCGGGAGAACTTTGAGATCCTGATGAAGGTCAAGGAAAGCCTGGAGCTGGTGGACCTGGTGCCGCAGCCGCTGGTCGACTCCTACCGGCAGCAGCAGCAGCAGCTCCTGCAGAGGCCGTGAGTCAGCCTCACTCTGCACTGCCTACCTAGCATCCTGCCTGACCCTTGGCGGTGGCAGGGGGGAGGGGGTGTCAACCTAGCTGGAGAGTGATGGGCACACCAAAAACCCCTCCAGAAAGCACAGGAGCTCAGGAGGCTCCTCCCCCAACTCCGGGAAGCCTTCTGGGGCCTGAGTCCCAAGCTTCACTGCACCCTTCCCACCAAGGGGCATTGTAAATGGCTGCTATATGGGGAGGCCAGAAAGGGGCAGCAGCTGGAGTGACGCTGAGTCAGCCCCGCCGCCCTCTCCACACTGACTGGGACCCTGCCAGGAGCAGGCTCAGGGGCTGTGCCTGCCCACGGTCACAGGCAGGGAGGCCATCAAGAAGAACACTGTTCTCTGGCCTCAGGGGTCAGGGTCTGCCCCTCAGGGGAACCGGGGGCTTCCATAGAGGTAGCTAGGTGGGGACAAAGCTGCCTTTGCCTCCTGTCAACCTGTGCTCACTGTTGCTTCCAAACAGGAGCCACTTGCAGCCCCCGTCCTATGGGCCTGTGCTGTCACCCATGAACAAGGTGCATGGGGGCAGCAACAAGCTGCCCCCAGTCAACCAGCTGGTGGGCCAGCCTCCCTCCCACAGCTCGGCGCCTGGGCCCAGCCTGGGGCCTGTGGGTGAGTTCCCTGCTAGTGGGGTCCATAGGATAGGGGGAGGTCCAGCTCGGCCTGCAGGCAGGGCTATCCCTGGCTGGCTCCCTCCAGCACTCCCACCTACAGTGGAAACATGGGCCTTGGCAACCAAGGGGGATGTTCTTATCCTCACAGAGCCTCAGTTTCCCTCAGAAAACAGCAACAGAAATACCAAACTCACTCCTTATAAGGGTTAAGTGATAGAAGACTGTGTTGGCTGGCCTGGCACGTGCCAGGGGCTCAGCAGGGTGGAATTTGGGGCTCCTTCCCTGGGAAGGTCCTTCTGTGGGCACAGGTGCTGCATGGGAGCACCCCCTGGTGTGTCCCAAGGCTCCGGCATCAGAGCCCCAGCACTCGGTGCAGCTGTCCTGCCCCTCATGACCCCAGCCTTCCTCTGGGCAGTCTCCCAGTCCCTACCAAGGAGGGGTGAAGAGATGAGGCCTGAGCATTAAGGGGCTCTGCGGGCACTGCTTGGGCAGATGCTGGAGCTTAATGGGAGGCAGGGGGCCCTGGGTTGATGTCTTAAAGCAGCCCCCCAGTCTATGGCTGCCTCTTGGGGAACGCTTTCCACTTGGCAGGACTCTGTGCCCATCAAGGCGGGTCCTGCGGTGAGAGTGGGCAGGGTGGGCTGGGACCCTGATCTCACGATCCTGGTTGTGGCCACCTGACAGTGGACAGGTTCTGGGCTGCGGGTCCTACGGGGACCTCTCTGGCTAGCTAAGGTGGTGCCAGGTCTCAATGCCTCTTCTGGTGTCCATCTAGAGCCTGGGCAGAGGCTGCACCAGATGGCCTGCCAGGGTGACCCTGACAGTATGATCTTCCTTCCACCCAGGCCCTGGAGTACTCACCAACCACAGCCATGCCCTGCCAGCCAACGGGGAGGCCAACGGGAGCCACAGCACCCAGCCCATGGTCTCAGGGTCTCACTGCACTCCGCCACCCCCCTACCACGCTGACCCCAGCCTCGTCAGGTACGTGGACTGTAGTGGAACTGAGCCCATGCTGGCACCCTGTCCCCTGACCGGGGTCCATGGCTGCTGCCCTGGGAGCAGTCTGCGTGCAGCCCCATCCAGTCCTGTGTGTTAGCTGCTAGCCCTGGAACAGATAGGCAGGAGACTGTCACATCAGTATCCAGCAAGTGCACGGGGTGGGGAGGCTCCCTTAAGAGGAGGGAGAGCAGGAGGAGTCAGGGGTCCTCAGCGGGCTCGCCAACCATGGGCACCGAGGGTGCTGGGGTAGATGAGAGCCACCTTGGAGGCAGTTGCCACCCCGGCCCACCACTCCTCACAAGGTGAGCCCATGTCGCCTGAAGTTAATGCCGTCTCATTTCTCACATTCTCTCTGCAGTTTTTTAACAGGCTTGGGGTGTCCGAACTGCATCGAGTATTTCACCTCTCAAGGGGTACAGAACATTTACCACCTGCAGAACCTAACCATCGAGGTAAAGGCCCCAGATAGCCCCCTGCCCACAGCAGGCAGGTGCAGTCCCTGGCCCCTACCCCACAGAGGCAGCAGCCAGAGAGGCCTGTCCAGGAGGCAAAAAGCTTTCTCTTCCATCTGGGGCAGTCACTCTTGTGGCAGGAAAATTGGGGAAATCGTCCCCACAGATGAGCAGATGCAGACTGCTGTCCTGAAGTCACTGTCCAGAGCTCAGACAGATTCCGCTGAGGGACGTGCCAGATGGGACTTGTCCCCAGGACTCCAGTAGCTGAACGGGTCATTTGGATCTGAGGGTTTTTCTCCTGCCAGAATCCCTTGCTGTCTAGCAGCATGGCTGCCTTAGATTTTAGCGGATGGGCTGTTTCCATGGCACAGGAATGAACACGTGGAAGATCCAGAGGGAGCTAGTCTGATTTAGTGCCACTTGCCCAGGGAAAACTGAGGCCCAAAGAAAGGGCGTGGGTGGCCCTGGTGTCACTATTAAACAGCCTGGGGGAAGCTCAGCACCCATAGCTCAGTGAGTAGGGCACCAGCCACATACACTGAGGCTAGTGGGTTTGAGCCTAGCCCAGGGCCTACTGAAGAACAATGACAATTGCAACCAAAAAATAGCCGGGCATTGTGGAGGGCACCTGTAGTCCCACCTACTTGGGAGTCTGGGGCAAGAGAATCGCTTAAGCCCAAGAGTGTGAGGTTGCTGTGAGCTGTGATAACACAGCACTCTAGGGTGACATAGTGAGACTCTTTCTCAAAAAAAAAAACAACAACAACAACAACAAAAAACCCCACCTGGGTTTGCATGACTCCCCAATGCCCTGTTAGCCAAGGGGAGAGCCTTGGGAAGCCCAAGGGGCAGTCAGCCTGTGATCCCCTAGGGCTCTAGCCCAGGACCTCAAAAGCCTCTGCAACCCTAGTCTGACTAGGTCAAAAGCCATCCAAGCTTGTCCCCAGCCCAGGCCACAGGCCAGAGACCAGAAACTCAGCTTGTCTGGGGAAGCTAGGCCCAGTGGCTCAGCCCTGCCCTGCCCCCATGCCTGTCCCCGGCTGGGGCAGCACTGAGGTCTCCTTAACCCTTGCCTCCCCAGCATATCACACACTTTGAGTTGCGCTGGGAGGGTGTAGGGAGCCGAGGGGGAAGGACCACCCTGCGGGGACTGCACCTTGCTCTGATAGGCGGTGGCGACACTCTTGCAGGACCTGGGCGCCCTCAAGATCCCTGACCAGTACCGCATGACTATCTGGCGGGGCCTGCAGGACCTGAAGCAGGGCCACGACTACGGCGCCCAGCAGCTGCTCCGCTCCAGCAGTAACGCGGCCACCATCTCCATCGGCGGCTCTGGGGAGCTGCAGCGGCAGCGGGTTATGGAGGCCGTACACTTCCGCGTGCGCCACACCATCACCATCCCCAACCGCGGCGGCCCGGGCGGGGGCGCAGCGCCCGAGGAGTGGGCGGACTTCGGCTTCGACCTGCCCGACTGCAAGGCCCGCAAGCAGCCCATCAAGGAGGAGCTGTCGGAGGGCGAGGTCCACTGAGGCCGCGCGCTTTGCTACCAGAGGCTGTCTGGGAGCAGGACTTCTGCGCCGCGCACACACAGGGGGGTTCGGAAGCCACCCGGGCAGCCTGAATGGAGCTGCCCTCCAGTGATGCTCGCGAGGGCCAGGCACAGGACACCGAGGCAAAGGCCGGCCACCCTCTCAGCCACTGTCACTGTCCCAGACCTCCATGTGGGCGCTGTCCCCTGCCTCCTCTTAGGGACGCTCGCGGCCCAGGACCGTCTCTGCCGACAAACTGCCACACAGTGTTTCCCCACGTCCTCCGGTTCGCGGCGGTGAGCGCCCAGTGACTGCACGAAGCGCGAGTATTTTCAGGAAACCGCCCGGACTGTCTTCGACCGAGGCGAGGGCGCCCTCTACGGGCGCCGGGAGTGGCCTGCACCCACCGCCAGGCCCGCGGGGCGCCTCCCCCATCCGACTCTTCTGCCCCTGCCCCTTCCCAAAGCACCCTGCGAACTGTTGCTGGTACCGGATGGGGGCGCTGGGGAGGCACCAGGTGTCACTTTGCACTGCTGCTGGCCACACCTGCCTCCCCTGACTGGCCGTCAGCAGACTAAAGGCATGTCCCCAGACTCCTGGAAGTTGTTGATATTTGATAAAACAATACCCTTTTCTATGTGGTGGGTCAGCTTTATTTTTTTTTAAACTTTCACTCTCAACATTCCCTTTTGAGTTCAACCAAGTGCCCTGAGCTGGGGTAAGGATGCTAAGTGACAAACCAGGTAGGCTGTCACTGTTGCCAGAATGTCTGCTGGACAGGGCAGGGATAGCCATCGCCATGTGGCTGGGAATGTCCTCCCAGGGTTCCCTTTGCAAGGTGGGACAACCAGTGGTCTCTTCCGTGGAGGTGGCAGGTGGGGATGGCACTGAGCAGGTGGGGCGGGTCCCAGCCTCAGGAAGCACCTCAAGGAATTAGGGAGCCAGGGAGTTGACTTTTGTATGGGCTCACCCATGGGGGCCATTTCTTTCCTTCTGAGCCGCAGAGGCCCGAACACCACCTGTCCCAGAGTCCAGCCCCTGGGCAGGGGCAAGGCCACGGGGGGACCCTCACAGTGTTACTGGATGAAGAGGGTCTGGCTGCCTGTCACTGTCAGCCAATATGCAGAGACAGAGGTAGGTCCATCAAACTTTGTCAGAAGGCCGAGATTGTGGAGAACAGGGAGCGTAGCCTCTCCAAGACTGTTCTGTTCTCCCACTTCCAAAATTACAGTTTTATACAATAAAAGTTCAAAGCAAAGACCACACCAACCCATATTCCAAATAATAATCAGCTTACCTCAGTGACTTTTACAACATTCCAATTCAAAAGTTCATCTCCCAAATCAATCCATCTGAACTACTCAAGATAGGAATCTTTAGGGTGGGAGCTAAATTTACAAAACTGTAAAAGCGGGAGGGGGGGGGATCAGGCAGGACCTAAACTGACCAGCTCCGCCCAGTCAGTCAGCTCTGCCTGTCTTATTCTCACTACTTGTTCTTTGACAGTGTGTGATGAAGACAGGTGGGGTGACAGTGTCTTGGTTCAGGGCTGAGAGTGCAGGCTGCCCAGATCTCTCCCACGTGGCTGTTCCCCACCCCTTTGCCTGGGGGCTATGTCGCATTAGCTCCTTTAGGTGTGGTTCTCCCCACACTAATAGCAGTTAAGCCCCCCAGACCAGAGGGAGGTGCAGACACAGCCCCCATCAGAGTAGGCTCCATTCGGAGACTCTGTCTTGGAGCTTGGCAAGGACAACCCCATCTCCACAGACAGCTGAGACTGGTTTGGCCCAGGTGCCATTGTCTGTGATGACTTAGCTATCTCCCCACTGCCTTTGTGAAGGTAGAGACCTGGGTGGGGTCTGGTGGGAGCAGGCCCCAGGGGTGTCAGAGCTCCGGGTGGCTACAGCTGGCAGGCAGGCTGAGGGACCTAGGTCCTGCCTGCCAGCCCTTCCAATTCCAGCTTCTAGGGCGTCTTCCATCTGCTTGGAAGCCACGGCTCTGTCCAGAGGGTCCATCACAACAGGGCTCAAGGCTTTGGGGGAAGGTGTGGTGGCCCTGGTTTCATGTTACCTCAGCCCCCTCCTGTGGCCTGGGAGTAAGTACCCTCTCCCTGTCCATTAGTAGATGAGAAAACTGAGGCCAAAAAGGCTAAGTTCGCACGCCCAGCTGACAGGAGAGATGGCTGGAGTCTGGGCACTTCTGAGGCCACACACTGGAGCCCTGGTGCTGCTCCTGGCTTCACTCAGGAGTCACAGAGGCCCATCTAATCCCTGCTAAGAAGCACTCAGGTCCCAGAGTCTCCCATGAATCTGCTTCCAAGGCACACTCCCTGTCGCCCCCAGCCCGGTAAGGGTTGTCCTGATTAATGAGGTGGGTGACACAGAGCAGAAAGGCCGTCTCAAGAACAGGACAGGATTCTCACAGGCAGACAACTCCCATGGGGAGCCCCAGGCCACACATGATTCAAGGCCTAGGTCCTTCTTGCCAGCCCCTTCCAGTGCCCCCTCAAACCCGGCTGGTGGGCTGGAGAAGTTATAAGAATAAGTAGAGCTGAAATTTTGCCATGGTTAAGAGAAAATGCAGATTCCGGGAATAGGAACCTTTTAGGTTTGAAACCCTTGCTCTATAAAATCCCCAAATCAAGAAGAAATCAATCTTTAAGGTGAAGTTTTCCAGCAGTGTAGAGAGGGATAAGGGGAAGGGGTCAGCCTGCGACCAGCCCCTCCCACTGCTGTCTCCAGGTCCAGGCTGCTGAGAGGCCACAGTTGTGCTCTGGTTTATAGGGACATGGTGCAAAGCGTCACACACACAAACATCCTCTCCTCTATTATTGGTTGAAGCACTTTAATGCTTTAGGTTTTTAAAACAATATATCATCTGTGTTTTCCATGTGAGATGATTGCTTCTTCAAGCAGTATTAAAGGATAGATTCCAGTGACATGAACTTTTTTTGGTAATGTATGTAATCTTGGGAAAATATGTTATTTTTTTAGCTGTGTTTTGTGGGAATCTTTGTTTCTGTCGCATAATAAAGCATGTGTCCAGTGGCTGGCTCCCATGACTAAATCGTCTCTGTGGGCTGGAGGGGGGCAGAGGCCCAAGGTGCTCGGACACAGGCAGGAGAGCACGACCTCCACCCAAGCTTCTCTGTGTTGGCGACAGGTCCAGGATGGGGACTGGCTTGTCCTCTGCCTCCAGCCTCGGAGAGGACCTGTGGGCCAAGACGGCCAACCTCACACATGGATGTGTGTGCCCAGGCAAGCACAGGTTGCTTGAAAATGAAGGTTCCTTCAACATTAAAGGAAAATCATGTTCTCAAAAAATAGCTCCCGCAGGCACGAGGCCCAAGAATGAATTTCCATCAAAATGTGGCTCTTACCAGGAAAGTTTTAGGCTTTTCAAAAAAATTCAACAAATATTTGTTGATCACCTGCTGTCTGTAAGGGCCCATTTGAGGAATGCTCTCCCTGCAGAGACACACTAACAGAGGTGTGGTTGGGGATGACTCCTACCTAACCCACAGGGATTAAACTCTATTTTCACCATGAAAATTGTCGGGGAAGTAGGTGGGGCAAGGAGGCACCTCTAGGCTCTGACTGCACCTGTCTGCACTTGGCAGATGACATAAAGCTAACAGCAGCCCGACCAGGAAATTTCACACGGATCACCACGGTGGGTGTGTCTTTTAAGAAGGCTAAATGTAGCAGAAGAAAATTGTAGGTGACACAAAGTTAATTTAGGCAAACTGGAAACTTCTAGTGCCCACCAAAACCATACAAGTTTTCTCTAGAAACACGATGTACAGACTTTACAGCAAAATTGAGGGGGGAAAAAAGAAGTGATTGCTGGTGACTCTGCCAACCTGGGGTCTCCTGAGCACACAGACAGAGGCTAAGAGTTCATGCAGCCAGGCCTCTGCCCCGGGGACTCCTGTTCAGACCCGATTTCTATGATGGACACCGCAGAATCCTCACACCACACGGCACACACCTGAACCACACTGAGACACACATGCCTCTGTGACCAGATTCTAGAAGCAATTTATTTTTTTTTTATTTTTTTTTTTTT